GAGCCACCGAGACCTACCAAACCACAGAGGTCACTGAGACCCACCAAACCACGGGATTCACCGTGAGCCACCGAGACCTACCAAACCACAGAGGTCACTAAGACCCACCAAACCACGGGATTCACCGTGAGCCACTGAGACCTACCAAACCACAGAGGTCACTAAGACCCACCAAACCACGGGATTCACCGTGAGCCACTGAGACCTACCAAACCACAGAGGTCACCGAGACCCACCAAACCACGGGATTCACCGTGAGCCACCGAGACCTACCAAACCACAGAGGTCACTAAGACCCACCAAGCCACGGGATTCACCCTGAGACCCACCAACCCACAAGATTCACCGTGAGCCACTGGGATTCACTGAGTCACGAGGACCCATCAAACCAGAGAGAACTACAGAGATCCATCCACCAGAACCCCTCAAACTTCCAGGATCTACCGGACCTACTCTGATCCCACAGAACCCGCTCCGAGCCTCTGCAGATTGCACTTTGTATTGTGTGCTCGTCTCTAGAAGAACCGGATCTCCTCATCAGTGAAAGTTCTGGTTCTGGACATTTGTCATCATTACTTCCTAATTCAGAGGCTGAACCTCCCCGCAGACTTCCCTTCTATAGCACGCCGGCCTCCCCTGTGAGGGGAGATCAGTATTAGTTCATGATGCAGAGGACCGGGCACCCCACAGACCTCATTGTGCACTGATCCCGAGGCTGGTCCTGGCACTGGTCCTGTGAGACCTCCGTACAGAGAGACGAGCTCAGGCCAGAGAGTTATCGGCAAGACTCTGAGACTTGTGACTCTGCACCTGTGTCACCAACCATGGCATCAACCAGCGCTGCCGCCAGGATGGGGAGGTTGGCACGGACCACACTGCTCTGCCTGCTCCTGATCAGCGAGGCGGTTCTGTCAGAGGCTCACCAGGTCAGCACTTGTGAAGCTAATGGCAGCGTGTACTATGTTGGGGAATGGTATTTCCTGGACTCGGACCATTGTACACAGTGTGAGTGTACCTCAGAGGGGGCAACCTGTGCCAGGACCGAGTGCACCGCCCTGCCACCTGCCTGCATGCATGTCAGTCACTACCCCACCGACTGCTGCCCCCGCTGTGAGAAGATTGGCTGCGAGTACAGAGGAGAGGTCTACGAGCTGGGCGAGCTTTTCCAGGTACCAACGTTCTGCTCTGCCGTGCACTGAACATATCTGCCCATTGGGTACAAATATCTGCCCGTTTATACCCCCTACATACACTGCCCACGTCTTCTCTGCCCTTGTACACACTGCCCATTGTGAACCAGGTGCAGCCCCTGGTCATACCAAACTCTGTGCCCCCCTATACCTCATCTCTGCCACCTGATCATACTGGACATTGTGCCCCCTACACCTCATCTCTGCCACCCGCTTATACTGGTCATTGTGCCCCCTATACCTCATCTCTGCCACCCGCTTATACTGGTCATTGTGCCCCCTATACCTCATCTCTGCCACCCGCTTATACTGGTCATTGTGCCCCCTATACCTCATCTCTGCCACCCGCTTATACTGGTCATTGTGCCCCCTACACCTCATCTCTGCCACCCGCTTATACTGGTCATTGTGCCCCTATACCTCATCTCTGCCACCTGCTCATACTGGTCATTGTGCCCCCTACACCTCATCTCTGCCACCTGATCATACTGGTCATTGTGCCCCCTACACCTCATCTCTGCCACCCGCTCATACTGGTCATTGTGCCCCCTACACCTCATCTCTGCCACCTGATCATACTGGTCATTGTGCCCCCTACACCTCATCTCTGCCACCTGCTCATACTGGTCATTGTGCCCCCTACACCTCATCTCTGCCACCTGCTCATACTGGTCATTGTGCCCCCTACACCTCATCTCTGCCACCCGCTTATACTGGTCATTGTGCCCCCTA